AGAGAGAGAGAGAGAGAGAGAGAGAGAGAGAGAGAGAGAGAGAGAGAGAGGGAGAGAGAACGACAGAGTCAGAGACAGAGGGAGAGCACGGAGACGAAGACAGAGGGAGAGCACGGAGACGAAGACAGAGGGAAAGGACGGACACGAAGACGCACACACGACGTTGTTAATTCACCACCACTTTTTCCTTTTAGAGAGAGCACAGAGGTGAAGACATACACCAGCCACACGGAAATATTTATCTTCCGCGCCCCCCCACCTCGCCTTCCCGTGGTGGCGCAAAATGCATCCCTTCGGTGCTTCTCAGTCAGCCCATCTCCGTCTAACCACCGTGCGCCTCCAAGGTCTTGATGGTGTTCCGAGATGGTCGTGTTTCTTCTAGAACGTTTCGCGTAAGCCGCCCCTACAAACAGTTCGCTCATGTCGGGCAAAAACCACTAAAACGGCAAGGCATACGTATCCGCTAAGCATTTTCTGCAGAGACGCTCGGCAGATGAACAAAAGCAGATACTCATGTCGCATAGATATTCGGTGGACTCACCATTCCCTCGCAATTCGCTTTCAGCTCCGTCATCTCCGCCGAGGCTTCCTCGAGCTTGGACATCGCGCACTCAGCCTGTGTACCAACCAACACAGAGGAGTTGTGCGATCGAAACAGACGTGGGATACATATCAGCGACAAATTGATAAAAAAACAAGAAGGCGGTTGCATTCTGCAGCGATCAATCTGAAGCGAGGAGGAAAACAGACAAGGCCAGGGTGGGCGAATAGGTAAGTTAAGTCAACGCTTGACAGGGTTATCACAGTGAGTGTATGGCTGGCCTTGTGCCCCCTTTCGTCCGACGCCCACGACGCCTCAATCGGATGAATCGTGCAACTAGATGGCAAACAAAAAGAAAAGAAAATAATAGCACCAGTTGTCGCTACAAAACAGGTGGCGCGACGACCTCCTCGCTCCCCGCAAGTACCCGAGGTTGCACGTACTTTCAAAATGCGCGCTTGGCACCCCCCTTTCATCAACCCGC